GCTTGTGCTGATACAAAGATGTCTGTCCAAAGATTACACTGAAAAGCAGTTAAAAAAAAAAACCCAAATACTTATAATCACATTTGTGTAGATTTTCAAAAGATAAATATGCAAATATAAATACGTAATTAATGTGTTTACATACGCATATATCACCTCCAAAAGGGTATATCAGAAACCATTAGTAATGGTTAACTCCAAGTGCATAGTGGAACTGAGGGGCTGCCAGGGAAAGAAGAGGAATTGCCTTTTCATTTTATATCCTTTTGTATAGTTTTAATTTCTTACAGTATAAAAGTATATTTTATTTTATAATAAATATTTAAAAGGTAATACAAAGGGACTAGGGATTAGCCAGAGAATGAACTCAAATTTAATGCCTCAGAAAGCAACTATTCAGTGCATGAAAGAGTTGAACAATGGTGGCCAAGAGGGCAAAGGCAAATGAAAGAACAATGAATTATTAAAAGCAGTACATGTTACATGATGAGAGAATGAATATACAAACGGACAGTGGCCACGCCATATACAAAAATAGATCTCTGACCCATCATCTGCAGCAACCAGACTAGAAAACCAAACCACAGTCTCGTAGCAAACAGCTCAAATCAGCCACGAACTGATTATTAACTGATAATTTTCCTAATTTTTGACCCTGCTTCCAACTTAGGACCAACCAAAGAACACTAAATATGCACCCTTAACCAATTACATAGGCTTCTCTCCTTCTGGTTAGCCCACCACCAGCTTCCCCATGTCAACATCGTTCAATTAGAACATACCTGAAGCCTCCTTTTCCCCCACTAGCTTTTACACTCCTCTGCCAGCCTTTGAGTCTCTCTGCCAAATGCAAAAGACGGTGGTTGCCTCCTTTGCTACAGAAAGCTTTGAAGAAATAGCATTTGCTTATTCTCCTTTGGGTGGTTTTTATTTTCACAAAACCTAAATTGTTAGTACTAGATATCTTTAATGCAATATTTCCATAATTAGTCTTATTGTCTATCATAGAGCTTAGATATGATTTATTTATATAATTAGGTTATCTATATAACAACTATGGGTTGCATAAGCCATCAATACATGTAATTCCTGTGTATTTGTTACAAAATAATTAGGGAAAGAGAGCTGGGACCTGGCTAATTCACATGAATAAATTGCGTAGGTAATTTTTCCACTGCTGCTCTTTGGGCTCATGCTTGGAGATAACATCTTTTCGTTCACCTCTTTAGCACTGAGTTCCACCATGGATTTTAGTTCTACCTTTACATTCTCAACTGTCTGCTACAGAAAGAGTTCATCAGGGCCTCAAACTTTGCATACCTAAAGGTAAAATCATAATTTTATTCTCAGCTTTACCCAGTGACTCCCGCCTCCACTGTAGACCACTCTTTCTTCCCTCCCGATGTCTTGAAAAGTTTTTATTTTCATTCTCAATTCTACCAGTCCCTTGCTTTGCATTCCCATGCCCTCTTTTCTAATTCAAATCTCCAACATCCTGTTCTGAAACAGCAAAGGCCTCCTTCCTGAATTGCTGGTGTCCAGTCTCTCTCTGCTTCCATTCTTCTAATGTCAGGTTAAAGTAACACTCTTAACCATGTCACCCTGCGGGTCTAAAAAGCCCTGATGACACCCGATGGTTCATAACGATCTCCTTTTACAGTTATGTCTCCCACCAAGTTTTCTTACACAGACACAGAAACATGAACTCAACAAAAAGCTCAATAAGGAGAAAACGGATGATGAATGGCACTTCATTCCACAAATATAAGATTTATCACAAACCAATCCAACTGAAGATCTCTACAATGTAGAATAGCTTTCCTGATTTAAAATCCAATTATAAAGATCTGGCCCATGAGTCATTTAGGTGGCCCATTAATAACAACAGCTGTGATAATTTAGTCAAGGATATGAACCGACAAGGCAGACAGATGCATGAGGAGCAGAGAATCTTTTCATTTAAAAGGAGAATAATCTTGTAGTAGATCCAGAACTATTTAAGGCAAAGAACTTTTGCAATCTCCAAATTCTCCCTTCTCTAATATCCTAGCCTCTACTATATTATTTAGTATTTTCTACTTTAAATTAAAGACATCACTTTACATTATCTACTGCTAGACCATGAGGTTCCAACAGATAGGGTCAGTGTCTTAACCATTTCATATTCTCACATTGCCCATGGTAAGCATTCAATATTTATTGAAAGGGATTATAAGCCTTTCTCATTTCGTTACACATAGCTATCATTTGCTTGGCTTTTATTATGTATCAGGTATATATTAAGTGATAAACTCATCTACCAGGATGGTAAAATTGAAATTCTGACAAGGTTGCTGGTTAAATGAATGTAGAATTAAAAATTTACCATATAAACTTTTTTGGAATTAAGGGGTTAAGATACCATATAAAGCTTGGCTGACACATACTCTGTAAGTCAACATATCCTTGCCCACTTTGAGGGTAAAAAGGCCACCCCAAAGAGAGGAGAAAGTTTATTATATGACCCCTGGAGTTAGGAGGCAGAGTGTCTTGGAAAAAAACAACTGCAACAGGCTAACCTGTTGTTTGGAGATGCAGTTGGATGATATTTCGATGTTGGGATGAGCCTACATACCAAGTTTGTCAATAAGGGATGGGAAACTATTTCCTATAGATCAGATATAATCACTAGGGGGAAAGAGATTCCCAAGGAGAGAGCATCTGGAATCTTATTTCACTGTCCCATAGGATTCCTTCATAGGGCAGAGGGACTCCAGCAACACAAAGCTGTAGGATGCTTAGATTTTGAGCAAGTGGCCATCTAAAATGAATCCACTATCAAACTCAGGAGAGCCACAAGAGGGAAGCGCATGACAGCCTCAGGAGAGAGGCCTGAATCCTCTCATCCTACTCATTCTACCTCCTGAGCAGCTGCCACCCAGTTATGCTCACCTGGGGGCGGGGTGGAATGGAAGGCAGAGAAGAGAAATCAAGCCACCCACTAAACCCTGTTTCCCTTTGAGCCTGAAACAAAGGGAAGGGGAGAATAGTTAAATACTAAATGAAATTCAGGGTTTTGGTTAATCTCTTAAACTAGACATTTAAATGATCATGTTTAATTTTTATTTTGGTTTAAATTAACTGAGTTTGTGACTTAAAATAATGTTAGGACAATCTATTATCTAGGAGTAAGCACAAAATTATGGGGCTGACTAATGTTTGCATTCAGGGGGTAGAAGACAATGATCAAGAGGATAGAAATTAAAGGAACAGTAGAGGCAAGATGTAAAGTTTCATTTTATGCTGGTTACACATGGATCACCTCACACAATCCTCACAAAACTCCTAAAAGGTAGTAATTGTAACCCTTGTGCAGATGAACAAATTGAGACTTAATAAGGTTACATAAACCATTTATGGTAACAAGTGCTAAATGAAAAAGGCAAGAACTTAAGTCCTTTGGCTTCCAGAGTATGTGTGATCAAACATGGCACCATACACCGTGTTACAGCTAAACCATAATTTTTTCTTTCCAAACTTATTCCACTAAGATAGGAAACAAGGACCAAGATTCTTTTTAAATTGAGGGAAGTATACTTCCAAGTCAAAAACTCTAAAATTGTACATCTGCCTTACATTTGTGAACTCCTTTAGATGCTTGTGGGAAGTTCATGGGCATGCTCTCATCTGATTATTTCTCAACAGCTCTATCAAATACACATAGCGGACATTATTATCTCTATGTTAATGCAGTAGAGAAACTCATAAAATGAAGTCTCCTCAAAGTCACACAGCTGGTTAGCAGAAGGAAAAAACCTACATTTCAGATATTCCCCAGAACAGGTCTCATTTAACATGTGTTGGTTTCTATATCTCTTTTAGATATGAATGTCTGTAAACACAAATGCTGAGTTTCAAATGCCTAACCAGCCCTCTGTTGACCTCTTCCTGCCAAATTTAGGAAAATCAAAGAGGGAGAAAACCCCTTCTCCTGTTAGAATTTCTTAAGGCTACTCTGATAGAAAACTTTTATCGAAATTACATGAAATCCTTGAGGCACTGCTTTTCCTCTTTTGAAACCTATTTCACAAGATAAATCTTCAAGCAAACCCTCAATGTATTGGGAAAGAATTGACTCTTCTGAATACATTAACTCCTTCCTACAAGCTCTAATGCTTATAGATCTTCAGAGTGGATTTAAAAGTTCTTCCTACCAATTCATCCACTGGAAAAACAAACAAATTTTTAAAACACATTTTTTATGAACCCAGCAATTATTCCTCTGTGGATACTGAGCACAATAAGGATACCACCGTATCTCTGCTAACATCCATATTTATTATGCAACATGCTGCAAGTTTATAGCGAGACTGAGTGGGAATCTATCCATCTTAGTTTCTTTCTGTTTCTCTACTATTATTTCACAGCAAGTGCTTATGACATTTACAACGTGAGAGCTTTGCAAACTTTTAACATCTAATTTACATAAATGTAGGCTCCCCAAGATTCATCAGAGTCCAGGAAATCTTGAAAGCTACCTTTAGAGAGCCCTTACTTAGGCTGAATTCAGTTGTACTTCTGAGTAGGATGAGTGTCATGATTTTTTAAAAAAATATATCCTGCTTAACCCTGCATTATCCTTCTTACACAAGATGCTGTGATAATATTCACTGAGTTGGTGGGAAAAACACAGGATTGAGATCCAAAATGAAGCCTCAAACTGGATTCAAGCCTCTGCTTCCCAAGAAATGAATTTCAGGAATGTAGCAAAACACTACTTTCATCCCTTAGTTGCCCTAGGACTGTCATCAGTAATATCCACCATATTGGTCTCAGAGTTACAAGGAGGCAAAATATATGTGAAATGTGCTTCAGAAACTGTCAATGACCATTCAAAGATGATTAGGTTTAAAAATTAATTATTTTCCTTGGATAAAAAGTCAAGACCCATCAGTGTGCTGTATTCAGGAAACCCATCTCACATGCAAGGACACATATATGCTCAAAATAAAGGGATGGAGTTGCAATCCTAGGCTCTGATGAAATGGACTGTAAACCAACAAAGATCAAAAGAGACAAAGCAGGGCATTACATAATGGTAAAAGGATCAATGGATCAAGAAGAGCTAACAATCCTAAATATATACGCACCCAGGTACATAAAGCAAGTTCTTAATGACCTAAAAAGACACTTAGACTCCCACACAATAATAGTGGGAAACTTTAACACTCCACTGTCAATATTAGATCAACGAGACAGAAAACTAACAAGGCTATCCAGGACTTGAACTCAGATCTGGACCAAGCGGACCTAATACACATCTACAGAACTCTCTACCCCAAATCCACAGAATATACACTCTTCTCAGCACCGCATAGCACCTAATCTAAAATTGACCACATAATTGGAAGTAAATCACCCCTCAGCAAATGCAAAATAACGGAAATCATAACAAACAGTCTCTCAGACCACAGTACAATCAAATTAGAACTCAGAATTAAGAAACTAACTCAGAATGCACAACTTCATGGAAACTGAACAACTGGCTCCTGAATATCGACTGGATAAACAATGAAATGAAGGCAGGAATAAAGATGTTCTTCTAAACCAATGAGAACAAAGACACAATGTACCAGAATGTCTGGGAAACATTTGAAGCAGTGTGTAGAGGGAAGTTTATAGCAATAAATGCCCACATGAGACGTGAGGAAAGATCTAAAATCGACATCCTATCGTCAACATTGAAAGAGCTAGAGGAGCAAGATCAAAAAAACTCAAAGCTAGCTGAAGACAAGAAATAACTAAGATCAGAGCAGAATTGAAGGAGATAGACACACAAAAATACCCTTAAAAAATCAATGTATCCAGGAGCTGTTTTTTTGAAATGATCAACAAAATAGACTGCTAGCCAGATTAATAGAAAAGGGAGAAGAATAAAATAGATGCAATAAAAAATGATAAATGGGATACCACCACTGACTCCACAGAAATACAAACCACCATCAGAGATTACTACAAACAACTCTATGCACATAAACCAGTAAACCTGGAAGAAATGGATAAGTTCCTGGACACTTGCACCCTCCCAAGCCTAAACTAGGAAGAAGTTGAAACCTTGAATATGCCAATAACAAGGGCTGAAGTTGAGGCGGCAATTAATAACCTACCAACCAAAAGAAGTCCAGGTCCAGATGGATTCACAGCTGAATTCTACCAGGCGTACAAAGAGGAGCTAGTACCATTCATTTTGAAACTATTCCAAACAATACAAAAATGGGGAATCCTTCCCAAATCATTTTATGAGACCAACATCACCCTGATACCAAAACCCAGCAGAGACTCAACAAAAAAAGAAAACTTCAGGCCAATATGCATGATGAACATAGATGCAAAAATCTTTAATAAAATACTGGCAAACCGATTGCAACAGCACCTGAAAAAGCTTATCCATCACGATCAAGTAGGCTTCATTCTAGGGATGCAAGGCTGGTTCAACATACGCAAGTCTACAAATGTAATCTACCACATAAACAGAACCAAAGACAAAAACCACATGATTATCTCAATAGATGCAGAGAAGGCCTTCAACAAAATTCATCAGCCCTTTATGCTAAAAACTCTCAATAAACTAGGTATCGAAAGAACTTATCTCAAAACAATAAAGCTATTTACTACAAACCTACAGCCAATATCACACTGAATGGGCAAAAACTGGAATTATTCCCTTTGAAATCTGGCACTAGACAAGGATGCCCTTTTTCACCACTCCTATTCAATATAATATTGAAACTTCTAAACAGAGCAATTAGGCATGAAAAAAAAATAAGGGTAGTCAATTAGGAGAAGAAGAAGTCAAATTGTCTCTATTGGCAGAAGACATGATTGTATATTCAGAAGACCCTATCATCTCAGCCCAAAATCTAAACTGATAACTTCAGCCAAGTTTCAGGATACAAAATCAGTGTGTAGAAATCACAAGCATTTCTATACACCGATAACAGACTAACAGAGAACCAAATCATGAGCAAATTCCCATTCACAATTGTGACAAAGAGAATAAAATACCTAGGAATACAACTAACAAAGGATGTAAAGGACCTCTTCAAGGAGTACTACAAACCACTGCTCAAGGAAATAAGAGAGGACACAAATAGATGGAGAAATAGTCCATGCTCATGGTTAGAAAGAATCAATATCATGAAAATGACCATACTGCCCAAAGTAATTTATAGATTCAATGCTATCCCCATCAAGCTACCAATGACCTTCACAGAACTGGAAGAAAAAAAAAAAAAACAAAAAACAAAACAAAAAAAACCACCAAAAACTTCATATGGAACCAAAAGAGAGCCCGCATAGCCAAGACAATCCTATGCAAAAAGAACAAAGCTGGAGACATCACACTACCTGATTTGAAACTATGCTACAAGGCTACAGTAATCAAAACAGCATGATACTGGTACCAAAACAGTGATATAGACCAATGGAACAGAACAGAGGCCCAAGAGGCAATGCCACACATCTAAAACCATGCGATCTTTGACAAATCTGACAAAAACAATGGGGAAAGGATTCCCTGTTTAATAAATGGTGTTGAGAAAATTAGCTAGCAGTGCGCAGAAAGCAGAAACTGGACCCCTTCCTGACATGCTACACTAAAATTAACTCTAGATGGATTAAAGACTTAAACATAAGACCTAACACCATAAAAACCCTAGAAGAAAACCTAGGCAAAACCATTCAGGACATAAGCATAGGCAAGGAGTTTATGACTAAAACACAAAAAGCATTGGCAATAAAAGCCAAAATAGACAAATGGGACCTAATTAAACTCCAGAGCTTCTGTACAGCAAAAGAAACAATCATTAGAGTGAACTGGCAAACAACAGAATAGGAAAAAATTGTGTAATCTACCTGACAAAGGGCTAATATCCAGCATCTACAAAGAACTAAAACAGATTTATAAAAACAAAAAACCCATCCAAAAGTGGGTGGAGGATATGAACAGACACTTTTCAAAAGAAGACATATATGAGGCCAATAAACATATGAAAAAATACTCATCACCACTGATTATTAGAGAAATGCAAATAAAAACCACATTAAGATACCACCTCATGCCAGTTAGAATGGCAATCATTAAAAAATATGGAGACAACAGATCCTGAAGAGGATGTGGAGACACAGGAACACTTTGACACTGTTAGTGGGAGTGTAAACTAGTTCAACCATTGTGGAAGACAGTGTGGCGCTTCCTCAAGGACCCAGAAATAGAAATTCCATTTGACCCAGCAATCCCACTACTGGGTGTATACCCAAAGGATTATAAATCATTCTATTATAAAGACACATGCATACGTATGTTCATAGCGGCACTGTTTACAATAGCAAAGTCCTGGAACCAACCTAAATGCCCATCGACAATAGACTGGACAAGGAAAATGTGTCACATATACACCATGGAATACTATGCAGCCATAAAAAATGATGAATTTGTGTCCTTTGCAGAGACATGCATGAATCTAGACACCATCATTCTCAGCAAACTGACACAAGAACAGAAAATCAAACACCCCATGTTCTCACTCATAGGCAGGTGATGAACAATGAAAACACATGGACACAGAGAGAGAAGCATCATGCACAGGGGTCTGTTGGCAGGGGCCAAGGAAGGGACAGGGGATGGGTGGGGAGGTAGGGGAGGGATAACATGGGGAGAAATGCCAGATGTTGGTAATGGGGGAAAGGAGGCAGCAAATCACATTGCCATGTGTGTACCTATGCAACAATCCTGCATGATCTGCACAGGTACTCCAGAACATAAAGTACAATTTAAAAAAAATTAATGATTTTCCAAAAATATCAGATCATTCTGTTTTGAGAGTTTCACATTTCTTTTTCTTAAGTTAAATATATATCGGCATGGATACCGTATATGTGATGGGAGAATCACAGGAGATGATTCTCCCATCACATATACGGTATCCATGCCGATATATGTTTAACCTGAATCTAATCAAGAGGAAAGCCATCAGGCCAATTCACAAGTTGAGGTATTTTACTGATCTGGACTTTTTGAAATTTCACTGAAGAAAAACAAGAAAAACAAAAAACAAAAATGAAAAACAAAAACAAAACAATACAACGTGGGCTTTAGAACCATTCCTGATTAAAGGAAAAGAGATGTCACAACTAAAAACAATGCAAGAGACCAACTTCTGGATTTAAAGAAAATGCTAGAAAGGGACTTTATTGGAACAACTGAGGGAACTTGGAATGTAGACTGTATGTAAGGCATTATTGCATCAAATTTTCATTTCTTGAAATGTATCCTGATATGAGTAGAATGGAGGCAGTTCTCGTTCTTAGGAGGCACATACTGAAGTATTTTGGGGTAAATTGTCTTGACAACTGCAACTGTCAAATTATTCAGCAAAAATGAACTATGGCATTCTACATAGAGTGAGAAACAAAGGTGGAAAAAATTAACAGTTTTTAAAGGGATAGTGATGGATATGCAAGTGTTCATTGTACCAATATTTCAACTTGTCTGAAAATTTCAAATTTTTTAAATAAAAATTTGGGGCAGGGGAGATTCTATGTCTTAAAACATCCTCAAGGGGAAAATAAATCTTTTTTTAGTGATGCAAGAAAGTCTTAGGACTCTTAGATAGAGTAACACTTATCCCCTTAGTGTGACACAAAATGGAAACCCAAAGTGAAATGAGCAGCAGTTCTCTGCAATTGCATTTCATGAACTCCAGGACACCATTTCACTGCCATATGAGACACTTGGTTTTAATTGGCCAATATGGAAATCATGGCTTGGCCACTAACTCATTGCGTAATTTCTCTATCCTAGTTTTCTCATCTGAACATGAGAGTAAAAGAAGTTCTACCTCACAAGGGTGAGGTGGGGATTAAATGAGCTAGCACATGTTAAACATTTAGAAGATCTGCTGTTACAAGATAAACTCTCAGAGTTACCAACACCACCACCACCACCACCACCACCACAACCACCTTACATTGACGTCTGCTATGGAAATGCAGAGGCTTCTCCATCTTACACCTTGTCTTCTCTCTGCTATAACAATGTGGAGC